AAGCACAGAACTAGGTCGAGATAAACACAAATGTAAAAAGGCTGAACGTTTCTAAAGAAACTGTGGTGCTGCGTCGGTGGGGGCAACAAGGTAATTTGGTTATGTCAACTAAGTTGAAACTGGCCAATTTACGGGATAAACACAGAACCGAAAAATTCTCTTTGTACCAATTAAATATAATTTAATTTAAAAATTTGAAAATATAAGCGAACAATTTCAACGCAAAACTTTCCTCCTGTGACCATAAGGGGTTTTAGTCAAAGGCATGTACATTCATTTTGACTTCATTGTTGATTAGGTAATCACGACCCTTTAATCTTGACCTTTCAATCCATTTGGGATTCATTGTTCCAAGAAATGGAGACGTAGTTTGAAGGTATCGATTTTTTTTCTTTGTTCCTGTTCTTCGAATGCCTTGTTTTTCTCAGGTTTAGACGTCCAGAACAGACAACCCAGCATTTCGGGCCTCAGGCATCCCACACCTTCATCTCTTTATATTACAATTTTTTTTTTCAGGTAAAATAAAACAAGTTCGAGAACTAGCGCTCTTCAACAAATATCGTTTCTTGAGGATAAAGTCCAATGGATTGGAGTGATTTTGTTGTATCCAGCGCCGAAAGCTGTGAAAGAAAATGAAACGGGAAAAGAAGAGAAAAGCTTCGATTAGCACGAGTACGTTGGAAAGTAAAAAAAATAGTTTTTTCCTTTTCTTAACTCTTTGAACCCTAACAACAGTGTACATACTGTTTTCTATACATTTCCTTTAGTACTTACAAGGAGAACTTATCTGAGTTTGCGATCATTTCGCTTATTCTCAATACTTCAGTGTTTGATTCAGGGGTGATGTTGTGAGGAGAAATTAGATGATAATCTCCCTCTTAAAGGTCAAAGGGTTAAAAGTACTCACATCTCTCCGTGGAAAATTTGTCACTACTTTATAGTCACTGTCTAGGAAACCTCTCGTCTGTACAAACGTTAACACAACCTACGAAACAAAAGCGAAACACAAAAAGTTACTTAAGGGACTCTTTTGTCTCTCCCTCAGAACCAACTTCGTTCCCAGAGTCTCTCATCTTCTCGCCCCATGGAGCGAGAGAAGAGAGGGGACAGAGAGATGACAGACCCTGGGAACGAGCTCCATTGAAGAGAAAGTGATTTTAAGATGTTATCTCTAGGTAATAAATCACCTTTTAAAAATACCACCTTTTAAAAATATTAAGTAGAAACCAGTACACATCAAACCTGGAGTGGATTGCTGGCAAGGAATCTTCGTGTCACAGTATCACCATTAGGCAGCCTAAATCGGAGATTGGACACTGGAGCTGTGCATTCAGGCCCAGGTTCTGCGGGAAGGTGATCCATCAGAGATAACCGTTGAGCCTGGAACCGAAAATCAATATCACAGCTTAAACTGGGGCTTCTTTCATAAATGACAGCCTAATTAATTTTTCAGTCCACTAACGTTAACCTTGGTAATCTCGTTTCTGTGTGAACAGTCCATCACTTAAACATAGATTGACATTAGTTTTTCCAATACAAGTAGACGCTGATGCCCCCATTACAAGAGGGTCTAGTAACAAAGTGATGGAAAGGTTTGCGCATCATGAAAAAGTTAAGACGAGTTTTTTCCTTTGCAATCCAATTTACTTTTCTTCATCCTTAGCCAGCCTTGTTCCTCCTTGTTTTCATTTTGCGTCTAATGCGTTTTCCTATTTAATTTACCTCATGTTTTGTAGTCTCCATGAAGTTTGAAGGTTTGGGTACCGGGTAGCTCAGCTCGTAACAGGAAAAATAACGTTAAGTTTCGTGAAGGAGCTTTCTCTGAAGCCAAGAAATGAGAGAAGGCCAAAAGAAGGCTCAGGCTCGATTACCATCGGAAAATGCGTGGAAAATGTTCGGAAAATGAGCCCGCACCCCTCCCCCGAAGTTCCTAGTCGGGTGTGATCAAAGACTAACCTCGAGAATACAGCGGAAATTGGGCCTCGAATAGGCCACACTTCGTTATCTTAGATAAATGAGCTTCACCCCTGCGTAGAGTTTTCTTGCATACCTCTTTCAGCTGAGCTTCGTGAAGCGCTTGTTCTTCGTGCAGTTTTTTTGACAGCATTTCTTCCTCCTCTTGTCGTTTTTTCTCTTCCGCCTGAGAGGAAAATTAGCAGGAAACAATTAGGTCGTAAACCCGAGGTGAAGGGGGATGGCGAGGAAATACCTTCCGTACGCAAGTGTAGGAAAAGGTCAGAGGAAAAATTTTTTTTTAAGTTCAGTATACAACGGTTACTTATTCTTATCAGTTAGTGTTCGGTAAGGTCTTTATTACGGTAAAGAAATGAAAGTCAGCAATAAAATTCTGCAATGTGTGACTGGAACAAAAAAAAAATTAGAAGTTGCATACCTTAGCTCTGTCTTGGCGGAGCGAGGCCTGGTATGCTTCATCCTGTTCTCTCTTTACTAGTTCCCTCGCTTCTCTTTCTTCCTAAATGAACCGCGAAGCAGAAAAGACACATCATTACTACACTTAAAATCCCACTGATATTAAAATTCGAATATTATTGTCTCACTCATGGTCTCCTATGTAGACGCAACGGACAAAGTACCCTGCTTCAGAACACAGCATGGTAACTTTAGCGATCGCACAGGGCAGGATCATTCGATCCGCAGTTCTAAGCGTTGCCAATCCAGGCTATTGAGCCTCCCCTTTCTCCCCTCCCTCCCCTCCCCTGCTCTCATTGCCGTCTCAATCACAGAGTGTGCAAGTACTAGCCAAGAATAAATATCTGACGAAACCTAACGGCTCGTATTTGAAATGTGCTCTTAGAGTAATCAGAAAACTTGCAACTTTTCCGTTGTTCAATAATCAACACCTCCTCTACTTGAAAGTGCTAATT